AAACTTGTAGATAATGGCCCTACGTGCTGTTGTTCACTATAAAGATGTGGCCTATGGAAATTTGCATTATTCATACTGTAGTGCTTGAACTGATGAATCTAGGGCCACCACTCTGGCCAGCTGAGGCTGGTAGTGATGAATAATGCACAGTTCTGGTAAACACTTTCCAATAGTGGCTCCTGGAGGTAAGAGGGGAACAGGAGCAGATGTGGAAGGTAAAGTCCAAAGTGGTCCCAGTGGTAATAGTAGCATTAGGACTGGAAGAGTGGCTCCAGCAGATTCCAGGCACGACATCAGAGGTCTCTGTCCAGAGGGGTGCAGTCCTAGGAACAGTTAAGATGCTGTGCTGAACCTTCAAAATCACAGGCCTCTGATAGAGGAGCTCAGCTTTAAGAGCACACACACATACCACCTCCTGGGGGGTGGGAGGGAGATTCATAATATATGTTTGTATATATGTTTAAAATCACTACTTATTAAACTCAAAAAGAGCCTTGAACCAGATCTTGCATGTCATTCTTGAGCCACTTTGTCACATGTCAATTTTTTTTATTGTGACGAGAAAACTGCTAATTAAGCTGCATTAAACTGACAGAAATAGACAAACAGATTTATTTCAAATTGACATCTGTGAGAAATTCAGTTGTCAGCCTCAGGAACAAAGCCACAACCGATGCTGATGTATGAGCGCTGCTTCAGCTTTTACTTTGCTGTCGTGTATACAGCATAAATGCATTTCTAAAGTTAGCCTTCAGTGTCCTAACAACATCTAATAACATCAAATGTTTGCTAGGAAGGCGAGAGCCAAGGGAAATGGACAGGAGGAAAGTGGGAGGGGGACTATAAAGAAAAGAAGCATGGGAGAATAAAGACGAGCTGAGGCACTGTACAGTATCTCTTCCTGAGGACAAAAGACGAGGAAACAAAAGAGAATTAAAAAGACACACCAAAGGAAGGCAAAGAGAGGAGCGCTTTTACAGAAGTCATCTTTTATTGCCACGTAAGAAAGTCGTATATAGAACAATGGTGATATACTGTACTGTCAGATGGCAAATCAACAACAAAAGAAGAACAAAAATATCCCTATCAACCCCTCCCCCCTGCGAAAAAAAAGAGGAAAAATAGACAGTCATAGCAACACTATGGTAATATATTTCTGGGACAATACATCTGCTATATTTCTCTTTTTTTTTCTTAACAATATCTGAATAGTACCAAAATACAGCTTTTTCATAACTTAATTCCACAAATTATAAAGTCAGTAAACAGTAAAAGGACAATGGGGCATCACGGTGCATATTATAAGCTACTCTGCAAACAATAGTGGGAGATGGGGGCTCTACCATTAAAAATATGCTTTACGTTACGCATAAATGCAGTGTTGGGGCCCTACTTATCCATAAACACATATGCATAAGTACAACAAACTGGTCTGGACATCAAAAATAGAAAACCGGACCTCCTATAGGTAACTTTGTATGTACTGCTTGATTAACACTAAAATGAGTTAATCAGTGACTTATTCTATAAAAGGATATACTAATGGATCATAGTTTTACTGCAAATAACTTGTTGAATCTTCAAAACTGATGGAAAACCCTTTAACTTTGGGCCCTAGCAGAAGTCACTATGCAGATTACATTTAAATGCACTGTCACTGAAGTATTTCTTTGAATCCTAATAGCAATTAGATTATATTTAAAATTACCTTCTGATAAAAACCCTACATATGAAATCCACCATAGTCGCAAGCCATAGAAAAAACGGTCTGCTGTGCTCATTTCAGGCTCCATGTATTTATTCTTGGACTTCACTAGAGTAGCATGATTCACAGCTCAAATAATCAATACATATCTGATTTTCAGCTAATACATGAGCCCCCAGTTTATCTACTGTTTGAAACAAGCCTTTTTAGCGCCTGTCTCTTTAAGGCTAGCCTCCCTTGTAAGCTAACTTTCTTCTGATTGGCTGTCTCTCCCAAATAAAAGAACAACAGCAGGTGGGAGGGGCTTCTCTGCCCTCAGTAAGCCCTAGATATTTGATTTTTTTTTGACGTCATACAAAAAAAAAAAAAAAGCTGGCTTACAGGGATTACTTTCACATATGCTGTCCTCATTAATTGATACGTGGCCCCGGTTTAATATGAGAATTGTATATACATGACATAAAATAAGGAATAGCGTAATTGGTCCACTTTAAAACAAATGTTGAGCGTTACTGGACAACAAACACCGCATCTCCTCTGCTTCTGTGCATAAGTAGATAGCTCCAGGTGGAGAAAACACTGCACATAAGGATTGATGCTATACAAAGTTGTAAACATAGTTGACGAGAACCGTCTTTGATAACACGGTAATCTCGGGATGTATGGTCACAAAGATGCTGCTTTTCCATTAGCTGTCATGTTTACAACACTACTAAGCCCAGCAAATAACAACAGTAAAGAGCAGAGAAATTAAAGAGTGGAGAAAAACGTATCTTGTGTTTAAGCCCTTTTTATGTCATTCTGATGAACTGTACATATCCCATTTTGCAGTCTTGATGACCCTGCTCTGTCTTTTCTTCGGCGAAACAAGCACGTCGCGTTTTTATCGGTTCTAATTAAAGGGTGGGGTTGGGGCGGTCTTTCTTTACTACTTTGCCACTAAGAAATTAATATATACAGACAGCTGCGTTTTCCTGATTTAGACTGACATCAAGAACAATCCATGCTTCACATCTTCAGCTTAAATAGGACACAGTGTAAAAATAAAGCCCAAAGGAGCTAACGCAATGTTCCAGTGCATACACATAGCCGATTTTGATGCGAGAATCTATCGAGCTGCATGTGCTGCAGTAATAATCAATAATTTGAGCAACGCAAAACACTGGAAAGAAGAGATTGTGTATATGTATGTGTCTTTGTGTGTGTGAGATCCAACAAATTGTCTTTGATTCACAGCTGTTAGCACTCATGCGCCATGCACCACCATTTTTACTGTATCAATAATTCAAAGCTTCTCCCAACTATTGACATTAATTTCCCTCTTCTGTCTTTGTGCGCCTCTGTGGACTGTGGAGTCCCTGTTGCAGCATCAAAGTTCCTTCCCACATTTCTTTGGGTTTTGGTGATTAAAGACCACAGTGAGAACTAATAAAGCCCCCTGGCCACAGGCCCCAGTGCAGCTCCTCTTCTGTCTCTTACTGAATACCCTTTGTAGATATTTTGCTGAGCACTTCTATCTAAAACTCTGGTTGCTCTGCTGAACAGGAGAACTTGTTATTAAGGTAACTCCAAAAACAAGAGAGGGGAGGGAGGGCTTTAATCCCCAATTTTTATATCCCAGACGCATTCACCTCCTTTTGTCCTTCAGTGACGCATGTGTGGCCCAAGCTCTTATAATACTCAGTTTGTGGCTGCTAATACTTTTCTAGGTTATTTTGTAAGTGGGTAAGTTATTCTTTGCTTGCCTGTCAGCTCTTCCTTTAGCCCCTTTCAACACGATAGCATCAATTCAATTCATTTTTTTTTTATTTAGATAGGGCCAAATCACAACAACAGTCCACTAAATGTGCTTTATACTGTAAGGTAAAGACCCTACAATAACAAAGTAGTACAATAACAATGAACAAGTACTTGGTGACAGTGGGAAGGAAAAACTCCCTTCAAACAGGAAGAAACATCTGGCAAATCCAGGCTCAGGGAGGGGCAGCCATCTGCTGCGACCAGTTGGGCGTGAAGGGTTGGAGATTGATTATCAATATTAGTTCTTGTGATCATTGCTCGCTGCTGTTTACTGTCAGTTCATCAATAAATTAGTTTAATGCAGCACTGATGTCACACTGCACAACTTTTGACCAGGCCTACAGGGCAGGCTGGGTAGAACGCTAACAATGCATTCATTAATAAAAAGCAGTTGACACAGGTAGTTTACTGTAACAATGGCCGTCTATCAAGACCAGCGAAAATTTGCAGGTCTAAAACAAATGTAGCGAATGCAGTTGGCAAGGGAGTAAAATATTTTGCTTTGAAATACCTTTGTACAATTTCCTATTAGGATTAGAATTTGAAATGAGAGTACAACTCTCATGCAAAAGATGTACTGTGCAGCTTTCTGTTGGTCAGCACCATCAACCCACAAGTTAATGAAAACTTCCACACTTTGCACTGAATTACTTTTCCCTATGCAGCAGTTTTAATACCGTATAGATTATTGCAGTATGTTAAGCCAGTACTGACTGTAAAAAAAAAAAATGCACTAATAAATGAACTCTTTTTTAAGCCTGCAGACTACCTGTGTCCTTCTGCTCTGGCATTTTTTTGTCTGGCTGACTCGTCTGATGAGGAATGTCAGACATGACTGCCTCCTGAACGCACTCATCTGTGGCCCTGACCCTATCAACCATGACACAGCCAGCTCAAACAAATTCCCTCCTTTATATCAGGTTTATTTGGCTGTTACAATGAGCAATGGGGGAGGTGGGGGGTTTGTTGGTTGCTTTTTTGTTTGCCAACTGTTTCCACCGTCCTACGAATTGTTCCGCTGGCTGCTTTCGCAGAGCTGGATGAGCTTTCAAAGATTTGCCAGCAAGAGGTTGCATGGAGGGTTCACATTTCCACATTTCTGCCTTGCTGGATTAAGCCAATTGGGTCTGATAATGTACGTCCAGCGAACACTGACCTGTTTCTCAACTCTGTCCTAAACAACACAATCTGCCAGGAAACAGGAACATATAAGGGGGGGATCCTGCATAGCATCACCAAACACAAATATATGTATTTGTATTCCTTTGAATCCCTTTTAAATATGACTTTGTTTGAATTTGACTCCTTCAAAGACAATAATCACAAAATCATCAGCCTGGGTTGGATGTACACACACACACACACACACACACACACACACACACACACACACACACACACACACACACACACACACACACACACACACACACACACACACACTTTGTGAACAGTGAAATGTGTGCAGTGTGCACGGGGAAACCAATCACGTCACGTGCCTGAACTTTGTTGTTACAGAAAAGATTCATCGCAGCCCCATTTTTGTTTTCTCTCACATATTTACTCTGAAGGTCTTTCTCCTTAGACTGACAGAGAAAAGGATAAGAGGAGGGGGAAAAGTGTAGAAGAGGAAAGGATGAAAAGAAATAGATTAAGAGAGAAAGGCTATGTAAATTTATATATATATATATATATATATATTTATATATAAAAAGCATAATATCAGTTATCGCTACAAAGGGCCATGGTCTGGAGTTTCACAGTCTTTCATGTACAACAGGCGCAGTAACAGTACCGACTCTTGGTCTCTCTGCTGTGATGACACCTGCCGCTCGGCACTGTGGGAACACAAGGAAAGCAGAGTCCACCCTGTAATGTGTTCGCGACATGCGTGCGCACGTGTGTGTGTGTGTGTGTTAAGTGTGTAGGTGACACATTTTAATGCTCTGATGACTTATTAAATCCTGTTCCATGCCTTCAATCTGGCCTCGGGTTACAGTCACGTGATCGTGAAGGCAGCAGGGGGCTCCACAGCATGAGGGGAAAAATATTCCCTCAGAGCCCCTTATCTATGCGCTCAGCTGGCCTAGGTGTTTCTTCTCGTGTCCGACTTAGAACCTGCAGTATTACTGCAGTATTAGGTTCTCCTTTTACACCTCCATCCATAACGTGCCCAAACTGCTTGCAGTGCAGCTGATGCCGGCAAAAAACTGTCTCAGGTATACGCTGATATTCATATCCTTTACTCTCACAAGATTGTCACGTGGCCCTCTCCCTCTCAGGTTTTCCTACTTTAAACACCCCCCGGCTTTTTTCTTCCTTGTTCTCTATCCAAAAATGCCCTCACAATCTGTCTTTGTTAGTGGGATGCTGTCTGCTGTCAACTGTGTTTACGCTTCTGCCAAATGCTTCTCATTTTTAGTGCAGTCTGATCACTTAAAAATCATCTTAATTCGTTGAATTAATAGAGGTGGATGAAGCACTTTAGAAGACAAGATTTACATGATAACAGTGGCTGCTGCTGCTAATATATCTTACATGAAAAAAAAACAAGCAAATAGGCTTTGAGAATCCCTTAGAAGATTTGGCCTATTTGCCAGATTTAAGGGGATTTATTTTTATGTTTGAGTCATGTAACCCAGATAGATTCTTACAGCTGGTTGTGCCGGGTTTCTTTTTTTCAGCTGGAGCTTGAGTACAGTTAGTGATCTGATCGAGACTAGCTTCTCGTGGCAGTGCCTCGCGGGCGACAGCAAGGTGTTTGTTCTTTGCGCTCTTTTTGTGGCAGTTTTAGGACTTTTTAAATCCCAGAGCTCTGTAAACTCTAACACGATGAGAGGTCAAAACTCAGAAAAAAGGAACACACACACAAAGTCTAAATTAAATTAGTCATTTTGTCTGCTTCCAGCGTGATCATCCTCACCACGGCTACATTAGAACACGGTTGGGTTTTTTTTTTTTTTTTGCACTATTTATTAATTCTTTTAGAGGAATAGTTCAACAGTTTGTTGCCTGGCAACCTAATGTGAAGTCTGACATATACCCCCCCACTTAAAACCACAGGATGTCCTTTTTACTCTTAGGTTTCTTTTTTTCCAGAATAAATAAAGTAGATGTAACATATTAATTAGTGATGTTTTGAGGTCCCTGAAGGCAATTTCATTATTGTTCGATTGCACAGAACTGGGCTAATGGTTCCCCCTCCTGTTTCTAACATTCATTCCATATATTTATTAATTTTTTAGGCTAGGTTAATTATCTGCTGCCTCTAGCATTAAATTTAACACAGAGACATGTAGAGGTGGCATCAGTCTTCTCATATACCACATAGCATGTTGTCTAAAATGTTTTTTAAATGTGCAATTTAATGTTTTTTGAAAACTTAAAGATGTTTCCTGTGTGTGCATGGATTACATTGGTCTTTTTGATGTAGCTGCCATTACTAAAAGTCAAAAGTGTCACGTAAAAGAGCATTTTCAAACCTATTTAATTTTGATGCCAGTTAAATTCACTGGCATCAATAATTAAAAACCCAACTGTGTGGTAACTCTGCGTGTCCGTGTATTTCTGAATGTGTGCATTTTCATCATGCAGATGCTTCGTCCCGGCCTCCCTGTCCCTCCCCTGGGTCAGCTGTCATCACGCAGACGAGATCAGAACAAAATAAAACCAGTGCCACAGCATCCGCTCTCTGTTCTGGAGTTTCTTGTGGAAAAGGGAGACCTTCAGCCGCACAGCTCAAGGAGGTGCGTGTGAAAAGCCACAGTACAAAGCCTTCATGTCTGCAGTCCAAAGCCCAGGGCCCTCATCGTGTGTGTCTGCTGGAAAGCCCTCGGGAGATTTGGGTGTGAATCACGAGGAAGTGTTTTTTCTTCCAAACCCTTCAGTACTTTGCTGGACAGGTGAGCACACCTCTTGTCACGAGGTTTATGGGTAATTGCTGTATTTCTCATTACCCGTGATGCTTCAGTGCCTACAGCTGATCCCTTATATTGCTTCTCAGGTTTGGTTTGTTAAACCAATCCATTTTTTTAAATCAGCAGTTTCCCATCTGAGAGCAGTCGCACTGTAATTCTCCAATATCGGTATCATTATGGAGTAGATATTAGCTGTGAGACAACATTCTAATATCACCACAAGTGTAAAGACATCCCTGCTCTGTAGGCTCTTTGTTAGTATGGTTACAGATGCCACCTACTCGGGGGCCGTCCTTTTGACAGCAAAGGTCTTTTAGAGAGATTTCGTCGTGAACTTTGTTTGTGAAACAAGGACCACTCGGACATAGTAAACCAACGACCCTCGACTTCTACACACAAACACACGTGAAGATCTGCACGTTTGAACATCTCAAGAGCTGGTACTGTATCTCCACTCAGAGATTACTCGTGTCACCACTCCACATGCATCCTGTTCCTCTCTTTTTATTTCTTCTTGTCTTTCTCTCTCACACTGTCACCTCTGTCTTGCTGTTGGTCACAAAGTAGGGCTGTGTGGGGAGGAAGTGTTGGCTGTGGCTGTGGCCTCTAGTGCTGTGGAGCTGGTTCGGTTCCAGGATGGTACACTGAGGCCTCTTGTGCCCGTAGGTCTTCCTCCGGCCCACCGTCTCAGTCCCGTCCCAGCCCTTCAGCCCCAGCCCCATCGCATGTGAGGACGCAATTGTATTGGAACTGTACGCCAGTGGGCGGCCCATTGTAGCTGAGCCGTGGCCAATGACAGTCTCAGCAGCCCTGGAGATGCCCAGGGATGTGCCACCTGGCATGGTCCCCGCCATGTGTGCCAGGGAGGTAGCCCCTAGTCCTGGTGGCTTGCTACTGTGGCTGTGAAGATGAGTGTGAGAGCTGTGAGAGCTGTGAGAGCTGTGGGCAGTGTGACCATGGCTGACTTTGGGTTTCTGGCCGTTTGGCTTGTGTCCCCCTCCTCCTCCAGCGGCTATGTGCCGTTCTGTCGGCAGGGTTGAGACAGAGGAGATGCTGGGCATCTCGGTGACATAAGTGGCCACTGGCTCTGGAGTCAGTGGACCCAAAGAAGTCATAGGAGTCATGGAGGTCATAGGGGTGAGGGAAGTCATAGGAGTCATAGAAGTCATTGGGGTGAGCGAGGTCATGGGTGTCATTGAAGTCATTGGGGTCATGACGTGGTTAATAGGGTTGGCGCTCATAGGGTTTGAAGCCATGGGGTTGGTGGTCATCTGAGGAGTCACTGATGACATGTTGCCCATGGACGCCATGGATGGTCGGGAGTTGCCCATGGGCTGCAGAGGAAGTCCTTTTGCTGGCATCTCTACCATCAGGCGACGCTTGTTGTACAGTTCGCCGTTGTACTTGGCAGCTAAAGGAGAAGAAGAGAAAGAGTAAGAGAAGCAATGAAACACTAAGTGGGCACAAAAAACTGCTACAGAGCAGAGCTTAAATCTTGAATTAAACGATATATACTTTCTTAAATTTGGCCATTTGCCACCATGGAAGATTTTTTTTATTGAATGAATCAAAAAATAACACTTTCAGCAGTTTGCTGATCAGCCATAAGATAACACATCACTATGAGCACACACAGACAGAAAGCAGAAATATAGATATTGCATCAGTTTTAACACCCACAGTATAAGAAGGTCATATAACAAACCCCTATACTTTGTTAGTCAGCCTCACCTAACTGACCAAGCAGAGTGTCAGGACCACTGCTAACGCCTGCAAGTTAGAAGCCCGTGCTGCTACTGGAGGAGTGAAATCAAAAGAAAAGCCTAGAATCTCTCCTCCAGCTCGCCTCTTCCTCCCTTTTAAAGCCAAGAAAACATCCAATTTTTGCATGGTGGGAAGGAGTTCAACATGAGAAAGAAGGAAGAAATTTTGGGAGAAAGTTGTGAGGCTAATAACTAGGCATGACATGGGTGATTTTTTTCTAACTCGGTGCAAGTTTATTACAGTTATGTCATAAGATTAAGGAAAGATTTCAATCAGACCTCAGTGCACGCTCAACTAGTGGATTTTTGAGAATGCCTAAGTTGTAGACATTTATTTTTGCATTCAGTATTTTTAAACAAGTCAAAAATGTTTTGAAAAGTATTTGGTTATCTGCCTTTACACGTGTGTACACACATATGAACTTGAGAGACATCCATTCTTAATCCATCCATAGTTTTCAGTCATGTGACCGACTAACTAACCAGGCCAGCAAAACATTACAGCATCATGATGGACAATAGTAGACAGTCCCTGGTACTGCAAGACAAAAGTGTACTACAAGACTAGTTGGATCATCTATCCATGGAGGAAAAGCAAAGATATGAAGAGAAACTATGAATGTTGGTGACTTGTGATCCGTATTTTGCTCCGACAGCTTAATTTAAATCCCTAAAAATGGCGATGTCTCGCCAAAGCTCCAGTTCAGTGACATCTATGTATCTTGTAGAAAATTGCTCACCTTCCACTGCTGCCAGGATGAAAACGTTTAAAGTATGGACAGCTACATGTATTTTTGATCTTGATGTGTAAACAATCTTATTGTGTGGGAGGTAACGAACATGAAATTATTCATCATTAAAGCAAAGGTAAGTGCTACAAAGCTAGCTTAAACGAACTACCAGATGCAAATTTTATATTTTAAAGTATAAATTTTTCACATTAATGTCGTAACATAACATAACAGTAAAGTTGACAGAGTGTTTTCCAAATTCAGGCAAATCATCATCACAGTGCAGTCAGAGAGGTGCAGTTCTCCTGGCAACCAATCGGTTTGCCAGACGCAGAAGTATTATTTCTCCCTCCAGAGAACATGTCTTGTATACTTTGTATAGAAGAATTGTTGAATTGTTTGTCAAAAGTATGAACAAAAAGTCAACCAAAACATAGAATGTGTCTGTTTCCTGACTTACAGACTCCTCTATCTGTTGCATCTTCTATATCTGTGTGTGTGTATCCGTGTGTGTTTCTTCAGCCTTGGAGCAGTCAGCGTTAATGGCTCACATTTATTCCTCTCTCTGTCAGTCAGTGTCACCAAGCTACAGTCTCTCTTATCACTGCGAAATGTGACCCTTTTTTTTTGTCAGATTCACTTTCACAGTTGAGTCATTACTCTTCAGTCCCTTGTTGCCGCTACGTCCTTGAAGATAAAGTTAACACACTCAGTGAGTTTGCTTTACCGCTGTAACTATAAATCTAGTTTATCGCTGTGCAAACGCTGAAGAGAAATAACTAACGCGGGCCTGCGAGCGGATAGCAAGCGCAGGCGTGGGGGTTTGTAGGTAAGGGTGGGAGTGGTGGGAGACCACAGCCTCACTAGCTGAGTCGCTGTGAGACTGCCGCTGGGGATCAAACTTGCTCAGGCGACAGGTGAATCAATCCGGCAGTAGTCAGCTCGATGGTACATGCATCCAGCCGTGTACGTGAGTGGAAACGGAAAAATGCCACTGCTACGCAGCGTGGGCTCAGCATGCCTCTGCATGAGAAAAGCAGTGTCCTGCAGAGACTCGCACACATTATACATCAGGGGGAAAAACCGAGAACTGCTTCGTGAAGTCCCACAGTGCCAGCAACATAAAAACCTTATTAGGTTTAGACCAGTATATCAATCTGCTTTTTGTTAGGCAATTAGGTCGTCTACTGCCAATTTACTGGGGGGATTATTAGTTCTTGAAGTCTCTAAAACGTTTTCAAATTTCCAATGGTTTACCCAAATTTGAAGACCTTTTTTTAGTATTCACTATAAGTGGGTGGATCCTGCTGTCACAGTGCTGCCATCCTAAACAAAAAACATCCATTAGTCTGGGTTTAAATGGAGTTTTCTGTCTGTGAGGTTTATTTTTTTCCCACTCCAGAAACTCTTTGTAACTGTGCAATGGTGTTAGACTGCTTTCTCCTTCAAAATAACACCGTGTTCCATGCATCACTGAGACGCAATCAACACCTGTGCTTTCTATTAGCTACTATCTCTGCCGCGGAAAAACAGTACTATCTCCCAAAGTGACTAAGGGTTGGTAATTGTAGTGCATGACTAAAGCTGGCGATGCAAATTACGTGTGCCTCATTATAAAATCCGAGAGATTATGGAATCTGAAATACCTCAGCAGCTAATGGATGGATTTCAATCAAATTTTGATCATGATTTATTCATGGTATCCAAAAGAAGCCAAATGACTTTTTCCTTAGTGATGCTAGGCGGTTGACATTTTAATATCTTGAGTACTCGAGTAAGACTGAATATCTACTGTGGTCATTTCATTTGTTATATGAAAACATAATTGTATGATTATTATTAGGTTCTTATTAAATGTATTCTACATCACAGTATATTAAAGCCGGCATCTTAGCATATAACTGGCACTTGCAACATGGATGTGTCTCAAGTGTCCTCATTAAAATGAATGTGCATGTGGAGTGCGGCTGCAACAATCAGCTAAAAAAATACAAGAAAAAACAAAGGAGGGTATAATCTGCTTCAAAATCAACGCTTAACGTAGCTGTGCGTTTGCATGGACAAAAAGGCAAAAGAAAGAAAGACACACAAGACAAATAACTAAATGTTAATGCTTTTAGATGTTCTGTTGATTTCTGTCCACTTATGTGCAAGTCTAAAAAAAAATGATAATAATAAAACAAGCCCTAATTACCTAGGATTTACTGTGCTTACTGCATTTGGAAAATTGACTTATTAGCCAGCATGTAAGAACAAGAGAATCTTCTTGGATGTAGGACAGTCATTAACTACAGCAGAGCATTTGTACAATAGAAGTGGGCCATAATTGGTCATTTGTACTCAGGCTGAGTTGCAGGCCTGCATCCAGGGATCGTTCTTGGTTGCTTTTTGCCTTGTTTGCTGTTAGAACTCAATAAAGTGACCTTATAGAGATGCACAGAGGGACAGTGGAGATGGTTATTGATTGACAGGTGAGGGCCTTCTCAACTGGATCATCGGCCATTGGCAGAAGCAATTAAAGAACAAGAGGAAAGGCTGTTATGGGGGATGCTGGGAAAGTAGTGCTTAAGACCTAGTTCCATTTCCAGTTAGTGAGCACACCAGAACATGTATCAGAGGAGAATAATTTAGCTATTCAGATTTCTTTTGCTGACATTTATTTCCTATCTCTAGCTTGGATGCAACTAGGATAGCTCAGTAGGTAGCGTGGTGGCCCCATGATCGGAATGATCGGAAGGTCGGGGATTCGACTCCACTGAACGGCTACCCTGAGGTACCCCTGAGCAAGGTACTGTCCCTGCACACTGCTCCCTGGGCGCTGCACTGGTGGCTGCCCACTGCTTCACTGGGTGAATGGGTTAAATGCAGAGGAACTATTTCCCTAAGGGGACTAACAAGCTCACTTTACACTTTACTAGTTTGTGGACCACTCACCATCTTGGTGTTTGAAGGGGTCAGATTTAGATTAGATTGATTAACCTCCGTGTATTTTAATATCAAGGTTATGCTGACTGATTTACTTTTAGGGCCAGCTGTGTGTCCACTTTAGCAAAAACAGTGTTTGTCATTTCTGCCGTTTTGTGTTTCAGCCTTCGAGATTGCCACTTGCACATTTTCTTTTTGTCTCTGTTATTCCCCCTCACATGCATTTTTCATAGCTTGTGTGTCAATTTCCCATCACTGAACTCAAGGTAATGGCATTTTGCCTCCTGGAATCCTGGGTGCCTGTGTGTACAGGTTTCCAATCATTTCATAGGTGAATCTTTGAATACCACTTGGAAAATGGAAAACTGTCAGTCAACCATGAGCCTGAAGGGAAGAGACCTCCGTTCAATTATAGAAATGGAATCAAATATGAGCCCCTGTAAAGGAGGATCAAGATTAACAGCCCAATGGTTCTTTAAGGAGCGATATGGAGCTTGATGAATTGAGGGTGGGGTGGAGTCAGGGTGAAGAAGAGATAATGGGAAAGAAAGACAAAAGAAGCAAAAAGCAAAGATGAGATAAAAATGCAGAGGGCAGGAGATGGCTGATAAAGGGACTGATATAAAGAAGAAAACGGAGTTCATGGGAAAATGGGAGCGGTGGGAGGGACGAGTACGACGGCTACAGAAAGGTACTGGAGGAGGGTGTGAGTGAAGAAAAGTAAAGAGGCTTGTAAAAACCCAAATAAAATAAAAGTGCTTATTGTTAATGAACCTCATGAGTAGTTTTGTACATTTTATCACATTAACTTAAATGATGAAACTTTATGTTACCTCCAGACAATTTGAGAGCCATGCTGCACAGCTTTTCATATTGATTTTATGGCCCACAGGCTGTCACTGCTTTCAGACCGTGTCAGTACATTAAAAAAGTCAACTTGCTGAGAGTTAATACTTCCTTAGAAAAACAATTCACCATAGAGATCATAAAATCAATGAAGTTATAGTTGGAAACCTAAACAGGAAAAGTGTGAAGTTTTCTTGTACATGCCAACAATAAAAAAGGATTACATACCCCAACTTTCAAATCAAAAAAAGTTACAGTATAGTAAAGAAGTGTATCATCTCTCAATCACAGGAAAACAACTGCTTCTGTTCCAAGAAAAAAAGAAAAAAAATGATCCCCAACTGCTGGCGGATGTCATTACGACTAACTGTGGGCAGAGTTATTTCCTTTGGCTGAACAGAGCTGGCTGGAAGTTTTGTAAAGCGTGCCAGTGTGTGCTGGTTGGCCAGTCTTGTTTATTAGTGCTGGAGTCGTATTAGCCTTTGGGTGATGACATTTCATTTTGCAAAGCTAATTCTTAAGCTGTCAAATCCAAAATGCACCCAGATCCGTGCTTTCATTAAAGATAAAAAGCCAGAGAATCCTGCTGAGTTCTGCATTGTGTTTCTTATAAAACACCGCGTAACTGCCTCCTATCTTCTACAACAAGTTTGACACTGAACGCTGATGTTTGTGTCAACCTTTTCTGTTTGTAGTTAAAGTTCTCTGCCGTGATATACTGGAATGGGATATAGTGAATGGGCTAATGTGGACTGGTTCTTATATAATGCATACAACATTCACACAAATTCATGCAGTGGTTTCTGTCTAGCATTCACATCCCAACTTGGGGTTCAGTATTTTGCGCAAGTATACTTCACCATGCGGACTGGAGCAGATTGAAGCACCGGTCTTCCGATTAGTGGACGACCTGCTCTACCTCCTCAACTACAGCCACCCATTTCCACCCTGGACAGGTTTCCAAGTCCTTAATAGGACTAAAAAGGCAACCATTCATGGTCATAGTCACCCCGCACTCAGTTCAGAGTAACCAGTCAACCTAATATGTATGTCTTTGGAATTTGGAAGGAAGCATGAGGATTTGGACCCCTGCACAAATAGGGTAAACATGCAACTTCCACACAGAAAACCTGGCTGATGAGAGGTTTAAACCCAGAACCTTTACTGAACATGTAGCACATATAGTTTTAATACTTTTTAAAAAAGACTTTTAAAAAACGTCATCAGGACCTTTCAGTTTGTAAAATGATTTATTTATTAATTTTGACATCTGTAATAGTTTATATGTGACAAGATTTCTGTGTTACCACAAAAAGCTGCAGAAGACAGGAATATTAAGACACTCCGGCCGAAACGAGCAGGAATAACAACAAGTATCGCATTGATTACATCAGGAACAGCATGAATATGGGGGCTAGGATGAAGGTGGGTTACAAAGCAGCTTGCAGATGTGAAATGGCTGTAGATTTGTAGTTACAGCGGCAAAGCGGCAGAGGATAGACAAAGTAACTTATATTGTGTATCCTCTGTTTAATTCAATTCAGTTTTATTTATATTTTGGCGTTATTTATTTTTAATGTCAAATCAAAACAGCAGTTGCCTGAAGGCGCTTTATATTTTAAGGTAGAGACCATGCAAGACCTTTATTAGATTTGCCAACTGGATGTGTATTAAATGAATCATAAATTGATTTGGACTTGCAATAGATTCATAAAATGCTACATTTTTGTAGAAACTCCCCCCATCAGAACCACTTTTGTCTACCAGTTCTGGCAGCTGGGGATTAAACGGGCAAGGCCTCTGCCCCTGATCGATGCCTGATCCACATAGTACTAGACCTCTATAGCCCACCCTGCGGCTAGTGGGGATAGAACTGGGCAGATCCATATGACTCATTTAAGGTGAGCCCAGCACTATAGCGCCATGGACTAATGGCCCCTTTTAAAAAGTAAGCATATATGCTGCACTGACAGCTAGGGTTCGCAAATGGACCACAATTTGTGCACCTGCTCTTGGGCTTTACATATACTATATGCGCTGGTTGAACGTGGTGAGGCTATATTGGTCACACGGTAAATGACTACAGCGAAAGCTTGCTTTGTTCAGCAAACCATTCTTGCACAGTTGGAAACAATGGGTATCAAAGCACAGTGACACCAACAGACACTTGCTATCAGCTCAAAGCAGTCTGGCCTTTCTCCTCTGACTTCTAGCATCAACAAGCCCAGAGAACTGCTGCTCACTGGATATTTTCTCTTTTGCAGACCATTCCCTAAAGATTCAAGTAGATCAGCAGGCTCTGAACGAGTCAGACCAGCCTCTTTGGTAGGAATAATTCTTAATGGAGAAAACAAAATAAAATTTACTATTCACAATACAAATGCTTGGGTATTGGTCATCTCTTAATGTTGGACTTACAGGATATAGATGCAGGCTGAATGTCTTTAGGCCGCTTTTTTTTTTTTTACATTTATTTTTAACATTTCCAAGGAAACAGTTTTAAAACCAGTTTTTTTAGTTTGTATTCTTATAGCATAAATTTCCATAACACTGCTAGAATTCTCTTGTACCTGCCTCATCTGTTTTCCCAACAGATAGAGATTTCGTTCATTTCCCACAATGCCGCGCACAATCCCCAGAGCATGTGTTGCATCCATCTGTTGGGTTTGTGTGCAGTAAGACGAAGGAAAAAACTTTTTGAGAAACAGTGGGTTTGTATGCTGCACTCAAACTGCAGCACAGTTTGCGGTTGCAGTGCACGGATGTGTTCAGGGGAAATTGGCTTGTCTGATGAATTTTTATTCCTCGTTGAATATTGGCACAAAATTTTGAGTTAAGAAAGAATGGTTGGATTCTCGCAGACTGACACCAAGATGTTTTCTGCTGGCGTTTTAGATAACTGAACAATTTCCTGCAATCAAACACAACTGTGGCTGTGCTGAAAATATCTAGGCATCGTCTGATGTCTATATTCGGCCACTTCTCTGGGAATTATAAAAATAGACCATCAAACAATAAAGTTGCCAAGTTCAGGACTCAGGCATGACAGCATTAACCACTATTTTCACTCCTGTGCTTTTATTGGTGTAATCCTTTAAGCTTAAAAATGATGCGTTCATTTACCGCTTGGTATTCATTGCTCATTCAAGTCTTTCTCTGTTGTCAATTTCGCTGGCAGTTACATATACTGCTACCATAATAATGACACGTCTTCTTCTTGCTTCAGGGGCACAAAGTATTACTCAGCACAAACAAGCAGGATAATCTATTACTGTAACATGTCTGGAGATGAGTCAGGGCCACAGTAGTGTAGGGAATACCACTGACAATACAGGATGCATTTGTCATCACAATCAGTTTTACTTTGTGCTGCTGGACATGCTGGACAGATAGGCTTTTCAAAAAAAAGAACAAAACACGATCTATCCGGTCATTTTTCAAATAAAAGGGAGCGAATGCAGACAAATAGCATCCCGTAGCTGTTTACACAGACATCTAGATGCATTTGTAGATTGTATCTGTCGTGAGTGGGCTGAATTCTGAATCTAGTGAAGGCAGAGTACCTGTCTAGCATAAACAAGCTGACAAACGCTCGCTGGAAGCACTTGCGTGTCGGCCTCGAATGAATTCAGATTATGAAATAGCAATGTGACTGCCAAAGAACGTATGGTGATGAGGCAACTTTAGATCAGCTGCTACAGCCGCTGACTCACTGGATTTGGTTGCATGCGTGAAAGTGTATCCACTGTCATTTAAAATATAAAATGCTGATATTAAACACGGCCAGCATCAGGAGAAGGTCATCTTAAAGTGAGGGGGAGGGAAACTGATTTTAGACAATGGGGAGGCTGCCCGAAGCCCTCTAAAAGGTAAATAAGGATTATTTTGAACTGGGAGCTTAAACTGTGAGGATGTTCCCATCTTGTAGAGTCCAACAAGGAACACGTGGAATAGAAGATGACTATATTTATTCCCCTTTAAGTTCTAAACTTTTGCAGAGCCTATGACATTACTGTACCTGTGTGAGTGGCTCACATCATTGGTGGTGTTGTGCTAAACATGGATTTTTTTGCACAACACCACTAAGGATGTGAGCCACTGTTTTTATGTGATATTTTTGTATAATACGTTTGATTAAACTGGTAAATCTATAGGCTACATTTCCTCTTGTCCATTGTAATAGCTTTGGAATTCTAAATCCAGGAATTTGCTGAGATTTTTCAGTCCCTACATTGATGCTATGATTATTATTCCTTATACTAAGGTGCCGATTGTTATTCTGTCACTGATAAATTCAAAAACAGTGGCGAAAAAGTTGCTGGATATGCACAGAAGGCATTAACAACACTGAACAGATCAGTCACAGTAGTTGCGGACTGACCTGAAGTGTAGTTACATTTCTAGGGAGGTGCACGGCATACGATTTCAAAAGAAATTTGAGGTTGCGGCGTAGCTATGGTGTAAATTTCCCATTAAATAAATCCCCAGTAAGCAGGAGAAAAATATTTATGTATAAGCCGTTTATGTCTTACACCACATCCAGGTTAGCGATGCAGTGAAAAAACCACTGTCAATTATGTGTGCAGTGTGCTTGCTGTTGTTTAGAGCCTTCCCAGAGTAAAAAAACCACCTGGTGCTATTTGAGTTTGTGTTTCAGGGGCTCAAAAAGCATTCAGTAAACTATACTACAAAAAAAGTCACTTATAGGAGCCTAGGTTTTCCTTTTTCTTGAAATTCACTGCCAACTTGGGATGAATCACGATGACTCCACTAACAAGGCAGGCCCAGCCTTAGGTTTCACTGCTAATCTACACACTGCTATAGTCGTAAGAGTTACCAACAGAACAACATCAGGCTTACTGCCTACCACAAACTGTAAAAATATTCTCCTTCATCTAAACTCCCCTCCACTAAAAAAAAAAGAAACTTGGCAGTCACTCACCTACAGCCTTCAGAGAGGCGTACTTGTTGAGATCCTTGTTCTGCTGTTGCTGCTGCTGCTGTTGGTGGAGCTGTTGCTGTTGCTGGTGCTGTTCATAGACGTGAGACAGCTGGCCGAGGGCAGGGTAAGGGTGCTGCTGGCCCATGTTTGAAGCCGGTCCCACGTTGTTGTTAATCTGGCCACCCTCTGTGAACAGGGACATGAGACAGCGCAAGGTTACAATAACATTTAAAGCTCCAGTCCAGCACCAGAGGAGCCCTCGCTGGTCAAATGATTGGTGAAACTCTCATTCACATTTTCCAGAATCTACTTACATAACCTAATTTCTTTTTTTAAATTATTATTTTTTAATACATGATTTCTTGGCTGAGATATTTTGTGCCTTGCTCTCAACTAATATACACTCATTTCTATCTTTTGGGATTTTACCAGTAGATTTCCATGACACACTCTTACATTTATGTCACCATTACAACTGAAATATTCCTCCTGGAATAAAAAATGTCTTTATTAGTCCAGAGATTTTCTTTGCACATCTGATGAGTTAGTCTAAATCTGCCAGTTGGACTGTGCTACTTCTCTCAGAGGTCCTTTATGTAGCCTCACTCATCATGATTCAGAACTGTCTGTCTCAGAACTGCTTTAATGTTCTTAAACACCCTTGTTCAATGTCTTGAACAAGGGTGTCAAATATGAGGCTCGGGGCCCAGAATGGGCCCAGCACAGGTTCAAGTCTGGCCCCCTGGAGAGATTTGGAAAATGTGAATGAGGGTCTAAGTTTGGGCTTTAAAATGCATTTTAATACATTTCACAGCTTTGCCTGATAAAGACCTCCCCCATCGCCATTCATGCTAGCTCAAAGAAGTCTGCAATAGATAAACAATGGATGACAGAAAAGTTGCTGTTTTTCCCTATCTGCTACATAAATGTCTCCTTTTTACAACGGGTCTACAAGATTAAAAAGGAACAAAAAAAAGGAGAGTGTTTGTGAATTTATCAAAATGTTCTGTTTTATAACAACAAGACAGTCTGGCCAATGAGCTACCAGAACTTTCTCTGTAAGTTTACACATATATTTCTTACAGCTTAAGCCCAAAAAGTTGTGAAGTCACATTTCTTTCATTTACTACAGCACCATTTCCTGATTTTGACTATAGGCTTGAAAGACTGTTGGACTATAGGATTGAAAGTTTTTCAGTGAGTGCAAAGTTACTTAAAGGAAATATATCAAGCATTTATTGGTACCTTTAGACTTTTTTTTATCATAAAAAGAGCTTTTTCTGTTTTCATATCATTTGACTGTATTTCAAATGCCAACCCTCCAGAATCATTTGATCACATGTACTCCAGCATATTCTCTAAATCAGCAGAGATTTACCAACTGGTGCTCACCAGGTGGTTGCTAACCAGTCTCTACACCTTCGTGACTGCAGCCTGAGTCACATCAATAACACATTCTTTTCTTTTTAGATTTCTGAGTGATTTTATTACATGTAAATGAGCTGAAATCACAGCACAACTGTTGTCCTTCGAAAGCAACAGGCATCAGTTCTAATGGGATGCTTTTGCAGCCAACAGAACAGCATTTTTTGTTCTTTGTTTATAACACAGACATTTTAGAGTTATAGTTAGCAGAAGTGGGTCTAGCTAAGGAATATCGACTGTGGAGCCGCATCTGGATTTGCTCAGTGTTAGTTAGAGTGTGCTAAACTAAGCATTAGGCGGGTTTTATATCAGTTTGCTAGACTGCATCATAGATGGACTGGACAAGTGACAAACTTTGACATGGGGCTATTAGACTCACTTTGCTATTTCATTACGAAAGAAAACAAAGGAAAACAAAGGTGGGCAGATTAATGCTACCATGTTTATAGTGGTAAACATGGTAGCAAACTTGGAAAACCCTTTAAAACTACATAATGAACCCACAGTAAGTGCATAGTATATTTGTTCTTCTCAAGTTTTAAGTGAGCCTCACGAGCTAATGATGACCTACTTTACTTCCTAAGAGACATATTTTATATAAAGGCCAGACGACATCCCAAGGTCTGACATGCACATGCTCCAAAATCAGTGCCCTCCTCAGTCAAGCTAGTACAATTATTACCAGAATATTTAACATGGGCACGGCTGTTCCTATTTTCAATACAAAATTAATTAGACTTAATTTTACTTATAGTTATCAAATCACTTCAGTTGTATCCAGCTGAGGTAGCTCAGTCACTTTTATGGACCAGCCTGGACCCCTGGGGCCCGTCCATAATGCAGAGGGTGAATACAGATAAGTAATGGAAGAAAAATTCAGTAAATTTCCTAAAACATGGGAAGAAACTTTTAAAGTACAATAAGAGGATTTCAAAGAGGTTCATGAAAGAACAAATTCTCAGTTAAAGTCAGTTTAAAAAACAAATATAAAGAGATTATTTTAACAAATACAGGGATTAAGAGGAGTGTTAATCACACGGTTTATAGCTTGATGTAAAAATGTAGTTTTGTTGTTTTGGTTTATTTATATTGTTTTTTTGTGTGTATTATATGTGTGTCTATAGTTATACATGTATATTATCTGATTGTATATCAACGAACATTGATTGTAAATTACTGAATAGTCTTAAGGGGCATAGAATCAAATAAGCAAACTTCATCCTACTCTTTTCCAGCATGTAAACTGTGTTGAATACAGAGAAAGTCATTGTATGTCGATGTTTTTAAGGCTTTTTTATGTTTAGTCATTCACTCAATTGCATATTATTATTTTAAGTGTTTCAAATTTCAACCATTTATCCATTATTTTCAGCCAACTACATATCCCTTATATTTAGTCGGCCAAATTAAACATTTATCCATTACCTTTAATTAGCTTCAATTTAACAATTTGTCTGGTTACTTTCAGTTAAGTATGACTCACTAATCTCTTCAGAAATCCTGGGGCAACTTTTAGCACTTCATCTCGCTATTGCTATATTGCACAGAAGCATGTGACTGCATTTCCCTTATTTATTTATTTATTGCTTAATGCTTATGGTGTAGGAAGTAGCAGATGTCTTATATTAATTACAGGCTAACTGTAATGTCTTCCTCTAATTAAATAAGTGATAATTAGATTTCAGAAGATGTGCAGTGGGTTGAGAAATGGGCAACTGCTCTACCAGAGCTGCACAGTCTGACTTTAAACTGCAGCCGAATGTTAAAACACAATGTGGGAATTGTTCTCTCGCTGCACTGAGCCTGACAGATAATTGCAAATTCCTGTTACTGAAGTCAAAGGTATACTTACTAAGTGAATACATTCTCTTAAAAGCCCCAATGCTGTCACTTGATAATTTGAGAAGGAAAGTAAACGTTACGAGACAAGAGAGCAAGAGTGAGGAATTAGAGTGGAAAAAGTGAAATGCGGAAAATGGAGAGGATACGTGAGGAGAAAAGAGAGAAAACGTCTCAAACGATGCTGACAGAGATATGAGGATGGTTTGTAAATATCGAAAGAAGCTAGACAAAAAAAGGAAATCATTAAGGTAAAAAATACAGGGCAAACAGACAAGGAAAACATGGATATTGTCATGGTCCTGGACCATATTGGCCCAGTATTCTTAGTTTTCGTGTGTTTTGTATTTATGCCTTGGTTCCTAGGTTGTTCTGTTAAGATGTTCCTTATTTGATTACCCCCTGTGTGCCCCTCTATGTATCTGTGAGCCCTCGTTTCCCCTCCTTGTGTTTTATTCCATGTTTTCCCCAGGCGGTTATGTCCGTGCTCTCCTTGTGCTCTCTCTCCTCCTGTCTGAACCTCTGTGTACTTCCTGTTTTACTTTGACAGTCTCTCGTCAGTAAGCGTCATGTTGTGTTCACTCCTGCCATGTCTCGTTACGATTATCTGTGTCAGCTGTGTTCCCCGTGTGTTCCCACTTCCCTCGTTAACCCTCTGTGTATTTATGTCCGCGTCTCCTGCAGTTCAGTGTCGTGTTCTCCCTCATGACTGTGCGCCCCTCCGTGTGTTTCCTCGTGAGTCAGTTCCTTTGGAACTTCCCAGTTTAGTTTCATATTATTTTGTATCGCCTTTATCTTCTGTCAGCAATAAAGCTATATTTTGTGTTCAGTCCTGTTTTCCCGTGAGTTTGCGTTTCGGTCCTCATCCTGCCTGCACACAGCCTAATCATGACAGATATTCCCAAGTCCCCCTCTCGCTTTTCTTTTAGCACCTCTTAAAGGTGTTCATACAGATGGCAAACTGAGGTGGGGAAACTGTGAAGCCTCAGCCCGACAACATCGATTTCCTCGAGTCATTTTCTCCCTGTTTCATCTCGTCGCCGAGGTTTCGAGTCACAGGGTGAGCTCAAAGTCCTTAAAATCTGCACAGCTCAATTGTCAAAGCGAAGCAAGTTCTCTTCTTACTAATTAAACACTTAAGCCCTGGCGCAGGCTCAAACCGCACGCACTCTTAACAGACACTGTGACTGACAAGGTACGGCGAGAGTGGAGACAATTAAAAAGAGCATCAAAGTGAGAGCCAGTGTGAGGCGTTGTAGAAAAGACTGAGACACGAGATTCCTTGATGTGATGAAATGTCCCACGGTGTTGTGTGAAATGAAACATGGACCCACATCCTAGTTTGGATAGATAACAGCGGCCTGGAAAATGCAAGGTTGAGTCATTTTCTGAGAAATTTATTGGACTTGCCAAATACACAGATGACGATGATGCACTTGTCAGTTAAATACTTTGGGATTTACTGTAACGGTTTGGCAATGCGGGTTCACTTAAGGCGAGATGACTTTCACTGCAAAAAGTGAGGCTGTGTTGGGCGGGAGGGGTAAACTGTGAGGAAGAGAAGGAGAGAGACAACCATGACTAAGGAAGAAACAGCAGCGAAGAACTGAGTTATGATCCCGAAGCGCTCGCTCTCTCTCTCTCAAGATAAAAGCTAGTAGGCTGTTTTATTTTTCATGTGAGGCCAAAATGGCTGGGGTCAACAATTTTCTCATTTCATAATGGATTTTGTCTAGCTGAGGAGCACATTTGTAAAATTCAATACCCCATCAAAGCACAGGTGCACCTACCCTCTGCCACGAGCTCATTCAGCTCCATGAAACAGTCATGCCCTTCTAAAATTGTGATTGTATGTAAACGCTTTGGTTTACTCAAATTTAATTTTTATTTATATATGCTGCCATTTAACAACATCTGCCTCA